GGGCCTCCCAATCCTCACTCGACAATCTCAACCTTAAGTTAAAATGTCTTCTCGCCCTCTGGGCCAAGAGCGCTTCGAGAGGGGCCCGAGGGAGCCCGGACTTGAAAACGCGACAGAACCGACCCTGCTAACGGATAGGCGGCTCCTCTCGAAGATCTTGGGGCGTGGAATGAAATGAGCGCATCGCTTCGGCTCCGCGCTCTCGAAGCACGGGGTCCGATGATAATCCCTTCGCTGCCTCGTCCAACGTCGAGGCAATGGCGGGGGGGGGGGGGGTGGGGGGGGGGCGGGGGGGCGCCAAAAGGGCGGGGCCAGAGATGCGTTGCCCCACCAACCAAGAGCGCCCGCGCCCACCATCGTCGCACGAAGGCGCTCCAAGTTCTGACGCCACGTGGAGCACGCATGTAAGGACGACCGCATGAGAGCGGCTGCCGCGAGGGCCTGAGTGCTAGGAGCCTCGGGCAAGCCACAGCGCGCGAGCTGAAACCAGTCGCCGTGGCGAAGGGGAGTGAACGGCGCGCGACGCATGCGAACAAAGGGCCTGCGCTCGGTCATGGGACCACTTGCGCAAGGCTGGAACTGCTGCATCTTGTAGCTCAGGACTGCGACAACTCTCTCACGATATCCAGCGACCGAGACTGCGCGAGGGGCACCGCGCGCGCCCGAGGCAGAGGAGCGACGCAGAGTTTTCTCAAATGGCTCCTTCCACTCATCCTCTGGAGTCGCGTCGGGCCCGGGGAGGCATCCGAGATGCATGGTCTTCCCAGACGCTAGAAAAAAGCTCCACGACTCCTCGATCAGGCCCAGGCCGCGCTGAAGCTCAGCACATGTCTAAGGCGCGGCAGGGGCCCGAAGCGGAACCGCAACAGATTTTCCAAGCAGGTGACGAACCCCATCCCTCCTCCACACCACCACCCCGATATCATCTGCACATGCGCGAACCACTCCCCGATTCTTGCGCGAAACATGGCGTTCCATGTCGGCAAGGAATGAGTTAAGTGCGACAATGAACAGCGCACCCGATAGCGGGCGCCCCAGCAGGACTCCTGACAACATACAGTACAAGAAGACCAGTGAGTCGCCGACCATGGAGTAGCAAGAGTTCACGTGATAGAGCACTCGCACAGCAAGCCGAAGACCATGCGGAATGGGAGCAGCATCGAGAGTAGCGAGCATCCAAGACTGGCGAACAGATGGGAAGGTTTGGGCAACATCAAAAGCAAGGAGAGGGGCGAGCTGGGGGGAATCTTGATTTTGCCGAATGCTCGTCTCCCGAGCCGCCGAATAGAGACCAACAACGTTGTTTAGAAAATTGCGGCGCGGAATGAGGCCGCGCTGAGACTCAGGCGCATGGCCTTGGAGGGCGCGGCATGTTGCCAGGTTCAAAACCGCAGCCGCCACCTTATTCGACGCATGTTTCAGCCCGCGGGGTCGCACTTCGCCTCCCGCGCGGGTTACTCCCGTCGCCGCAGTGTCCTCGCCCTCCTCCGGCTTCGGGATGAAGACTTGGAGAGAGGCATTAAAGACGGGGGACATAAGATGACCCGACAGGGCCCGAAGCAAAACGCGATGCAGGGTTCGAGGACCAGCCCATGGCCGCCAGACGGAGAACGGAAGCTCATCGGGACCCGGGGCAAAGGAACAGGCCCCCCGGAGGAACTGCTCAACCCCGCGGAGGCAGGGAGGAGGAAGGCCCCGAAAAGCAAGGTCCGACGGTCCAAACTTCTGGATACATTGGCTGGCTCGATGCAGGAGCGGCGTCTCCTGCGCGAAGATCGGGGCCCAAAAGCGATTGAGCTCTTGAGCAACCCATTTAGGCAAGGAAATCACCTCGTCCGATCCCCCCCCGCCCCCAACTCCGCCCAGCACTCCAGCGAAGTGTTTTCGCCGCCCGAAGCTGCGCCGCAGCCTCGAGCGCCTCGCGACGGCGGCGCGCCGCTGCCTGAAGCGGGCTTGCATGCCAGGGCGAGGCTCATTGTTGGCCTCAGCTTCCAGGGGCCAAATACTCTGCTGACGCTCTTGGCGCTGCAACGAAACGTGGAGATCGTTGAGCGCTCCGGGGCCCAGGAAAGAGACCGCGCTCTGTCCTCCGCCCGCGTGGAGGTCGGACAGTTGAAGGCGAGCGCAAATCCATCCGCGGCGAGCGAGGAGGCAACGAGCCAAGCGGACATCTCGGCGAGAGACACAGCGAGCGGCCGAGCGAGCTGCCATGGCACGTGAGACCAGGGCTCTCGGTTGAACCTCCAACTGTAGATCCCGCACTGCTTTGGCCGCTACCCTGCTGCAGAGGGTAGCGTAGCGAAGAGCCCCGGGGGCTCGCAACGGTCAGTCGATAAAAGACTCAGATACTCGCGCTCAGCCACAAGCTTTGGGCACAGAGGATCAGCGACGACATGGCGCGGAAGAGGGCGAAAATGAAAGGGGGGGGGTACCGTGGAACCAATAGCCCGTGGCCGAGCTTTCATCGTGAGAGTGACAGGTGCGTGGTCACTGACACCTGGCAGAAACATGTCGCGAGGCCCCTCATAACGTGAAACCTGTCGCCGGCCCTCGCAGAGAATCCACGGCGGCGTCGCCGCGGAGAAACGATCGACACAAGCCTCGGAAAAGAAAAATCCCCTGGTGCCATCATGTCGGGGCCTCGCACGAGAGTTCCGTGAGCTGCTTCCAAATCGCCCTCCAGGCGCTGCCCCCTGCTCGCGGCAGGCGCGAGGAACCGCTCGAAGAGCGCGCCATGTTAGAGCCCCCGTTGGGAATGAGCTCGACGCGCTGTGGGCGCGACCGAACGACTGACGCCTGCGCCAAAATCGCACGTTTGACGGCCGCGAGGGCCGAGGCGGGGATATCGAAATTGCGCGCTTTCCGATTGGTCAAACAAAAAGTTGGGGATGAGAGTTTCAAGGTCAGAATGCGCCCTGGAACGAATGAAAGCTCTTCGACCTGGAGGGCATCGCCCAAGTCAGGAATTAAAATGGCTCCGCCTGCGTTCGAGCCCTCGCAGTCGGGGCCGGTAACTTTATGCGAGGACTCGATGCGCTGGCAGAGCTCGGCGACAGCAGCGGGCGCGCCATGCGTCTCCTGGAGACTCGCCAGCGCTCGACTTAACGGGGGCACTCAATGCGCGCAGCCGCCGCGCCATGCCCGATGACGAATAGTGGCAGAGCGCTCGAGCATTCCACGCGACGAAGTCGATGGAGTTGCCGCCGAAGAGAGTGTTACCCACACCGCTCGACCTGCCTCGGGGCGAAGACTCCCTTGCCAAGTGCCACCGGCGATGCGTAGTCGAGGCCCGTGTCCGTGACGCCATTCTTGTTCCAGAGGACAGAGGGGGCTTCACCGGGGGCAACATTGATCTTCGCGACGGGTTCCCATTGATAGGTAAGCATGCCAGCGTCCTTGTCAATGTAGATATTGTGAGTGGTGCGGCACTGGGCTTCCAGTGCATTCCGATGTGCACGGCGGGCGCGCCCTCGAGGGAGATCACGCAGATTCTTGTCGCGACCGACATGCGCAGGCATAGAGCGACCGCCAGGCGCCATGATCGCAAACGACCGCCACTGGCCACATCCGAGGCGAAGTGCACTCTGGCAGCGCCGAATCCGAGCCAAGCGCGTATCGGGCCGAGCATGCGAATAACGAAACCTTTTCCCAACTGCGGGCCTTCCAGCCGCACCTCCTTGCCGTGCTCGCACCCACAGGCCGATGCCCATTCCTGCAAGCACTCCCTCGCATGGATGAGAGAGATCTCTTTTTATGCCGTGACCGTGAAGATGGTGGGGTCGATCTCTCTATCCCAATCGCCAGTGCGAGCGACTTGAGCCCTCGGAGGAGCAGACTTCGCAAGGTCGAGCTCACCCTCGAGTCTGGCGAGGCGCTCCAACATCTCACGTTGTCCTGCTTCCACTGCGGCAACCTTCTCGTCGGTGGCGTCGAGCCTGGACGCGAAGGTGTTGATGTGATTATCAACGAGCGCGTCGAACTTCTTGAAGGCAGGGGCTGTGGCGGCCGCCAGCGCTCCAGGCAAGTGGGCCTGGATGGAGTTGAGACACACCGGCGACATCTCCCGCAGGCATCGCTCTTGGAATTGAGCGAGCAGTTCGTCATGTACTGCAGGCATCTCTTGCCGAAGCTGTGCACGAAGAAGCCCAGCTGCCCATGGGTCGACACCGCGAGCCGTACCTTGAGCAGATGCAGTGGCCGCCCCACCTGGCAGGGCGCGCTGTGGGCTGCCCGCCACGGGAGTGCCGCACCGACCCGCAGGCGTGCCAGGAGCGCTTTGTCCCAGAGGCAGCGCAGCGGCGGCAGCAGCCGCGGCTTGCGCCATGCGCACTGCAGCCATCTCCTGCGAGGGAAAGGTTGGTGCGGTTTCCCAAACGGCTTGCGTGCGTTCACCCTCAGGGAACGTCGGCATGTCCTCCATGCGCGCCAGCGTACTAGCGGGCTCCCTGCCAGCGCTGCGGGAGCGTGCCGATGGTGCAGGGGAAGCAAGGGCCGCCGCCGCCGCAGCCCGTAGCTCACCGTCAGGATGTTGCCGTGAACGAGCACCAGAGCGAGGAGGAGTGACGTGAGAGCCAGCACTGCAGCCCGAATCAGGAGAGCCAGATGCAGCGCGCCGACGACGAGGAGTCTGTTTGATTGCCTTCTTGCGGCCATCCCGTCCCATAGCAGCCCGATGGCGAACAGAAGAGGGAGACGAACTCTTGGCCCCAGCAGCGCGCAGCTCGACTGGGGTTGCCTGAAACAGGAGCTAGCCTCGGACCAGAGGTGTCCACTTCTGGCCCCGAGGACAAAAACATCTTGAGCCAAAATGGCTACGGAGGAGGAGGAGGAGGAGGAGGAGGAGGAGGAGGAGGAGAAGGGCAGCAGCAGCAGCAGCAGCACCAGCAGCAGCAGCAGCAGCACTGCAGCTGTCGTTGACTCGGTGAGCTGTGGCCCGCGGCGGAGGCGAGCGGTCAAGAGACCCCTGGAGAAACACGGGCAGCGCGCGCGGGCGCCACGGCCTCGAAGGTGACGGGGTCCTTTTTCTGGTAGTTGATATTTCTGAGCAGGGGGCTCCTAGAGGAACAAAACAACCATACCCGTCGGTCGGACAAAAGTTGGTAGAAACATGAAGCAGGAAGGCGTTGGGGCTTCCACCCGCCCCCTGAAGAGGAGGGAAGAGGAACAAAATCACTCGATGATTGAAGTAGGAAGGCGCCTAAAGTAGATTGGGATCTGAGAACCCAGAAGTGCCTACTCTCCACGACCGATGGGTAGACACAAACTTTCAGCGCTCCGCGCGGATTTCTTGGATCTTCGGGCCCCCTTCCCTGGCGCGCGAAGCGCGCCGGGGTGCGGCGCCGGACCGCCGATCCAAGAGATCTGCGCGGACCGCCAACAGCTTATGCTGATGCTGTTTCTTGCCATCGCTCGGGCGTCCATTCCCCGTGTACCTGTCGGTTTCGCGCGTGCTTTTTTTGCTCGCTGATCCAGGGTGCTCCTCGATGGTCCTCGCCGAGACGCACACGTCCGAGCGATGCCAAGGTTTCTCTTCTTCGAGCTCCGCGACATGTGGAAGAACAGGTCGCCCTCGAAGCAATATGACTGGATGTGGCCCCAGCCTGGTGCCCCGCCTCCGCCAGGGCCGCCCCCAGCTCACCTCCGCTGGCGCCTGCCAGCCCCCCGCCAGCTTCCGACGCTCGGGGGGGAGACATCGACCTGGAAGCGGCGATGCGTCGTCGATGGATTGGCGACAGGCCCCCGATGGCGAATCTGCACGCTCTGGGGCGAGGTGGGGTTCCGGGGCGGGGTGGGCTCAACCGCCAGATGCAATCATCGACCCCCCCCCTCGGCGGAACCATATCGCTTCTCGCCCCCCTGGACATGATATGCCACCCATGGTCCCCTCAGTGCGGGGTCCACCAAGTCCTCATAAGATTCCAACCCAACCCCAATCATATTCAAAACAAATACCAATCCGGAATCCAATGGGACTCCAATAGGATTCAAATGAGGTCCCAATCATATCCCAATCCGAGTCCAATAGAATTCAAATCGGATTCCAATCCGCCGCTGTGCCTGAACGGAGTGGGCGTGTTAGAATGCTTGCCTGTTGTCTGGGAGGTCCGGGAGGTCTTTTAGAATTTTCTAGGCCTGCACGCACCTCTCGACCACCGCCCTCTCTGAAATTGATTTCTGGCGGTCTTGTCGGCCTCCAAAAGGCCAAGATGGCCTCCAGGAGGGCTTCCCATACAGCCAAGACGACAATGTGGCCCAAGAGCTTCTCAAGACAGCCTCACGACTGCCCAAGAGGCCCCCAAGACGGCCCAAAAGGCCTCCAAGACTGCCCAAAGCGCTCCAAGATGCCTTCCCGGACAGCCCGAGGGGGCCCATACCAATGATTGGAGTTTGGGTTTTGAGAGATTTTGAAGTTCTCGTCTGTTCGGGTTTCCGACCGCCTAGGACGGCCAAAGAAGCCTCCAAGAGGCCTCCAAGACAGCTCCAAGGCAGTCCAAGCGGCTCCCAACAGGGCCCAAAGTCGGCTCAAGAGGACCCAAATATTGCTCAAGGGGCTCAAAAGATGACCCCAAGACGGCCTTGAAGCGCTCCAGGAAAGCAATAAGACGGCCCAGAGATGCCTCTTGGGCTATTTTGGGCGATCGGAAACCCGAACATGCTAGAACCTCAAGCTCATGCTGGCTTCCTCGGGCTCTCCTGGAGGGCCTCTTGCAGCCGTCTTGGGGGCCTCTTGATCGGTCTTGGGGACTTCGTGGGAGCCTCATGGCCTCCACGACGGCTTCAAGACAGCCAAGACGACAACAAAACAGCTCAAAATGGCCCAAGACAGCTCAAGAGCCCTTCAAGATAGCCTAGAGACGGCCCAAAAGGCTTCCAAGACGGCCCAATAGGGCTCCAAGAGGAGCCCGAGGAAGCTATACATTGTTGAAGGGTTGCGAGGTTCTCGCCTCGTTCGGTTCCCAACCGCCCACGAGAGCCCAAGAGGGCTCCAAGCGGCTTCCAAGATAGCTCAAAGACAACCTAAGATGGCCCCAAATCAACCCAAGAGGGCCCACGGATCGCCCAAGGGACTCCCAAGTGGGCCCCCAAACGGCCCTGAAACGCTCCAAGGAGTTACCACCACGGCCTAGAGAGAACCCCAAGGCGGCCTCCATAGGCGGCAGTCGGGCCAAAAACCCAATAAGACGGGCTTCCAGGAGGCCTCAAGAAGACCCCAAGACGCCTGTTCCTCGTCGTCGTCGTCGTCCTCCTCCTCCTCCTCCTCCTCATGTTCTCTCCTCCTCCTCTTCCTCCTTCTCCTTCTCCTGCTCCTCCTCCTCCTCCTCCTCCTCCTACTCCTCCTCCTCTTCCTCCTCCTCCCTACCGCGCGGACGAAGACGAGGTCGGAATCACGATCCGCCCCAATGCGGACTACTCGTCGGAATTGCGCTGCTCCTCTGCTCCTGCACGCAGCCTGCTTCCTGCTACGCTGTTGCACATGCATGGTGGCGGGGTTTGCCGCAGACAGCTGGGTAGGATCCAGAGTAGACCCTAATCACATTCCAATCACATTCCAATCCAATCCCAATAGGACCCTACTGAGATCCCAGTCTGACTCCAATCGACCTTGTAACAGGAACCAAGAACGAGGCCAATCGGATCCTACGGGTTCCGATGGGATTTCAGTCATACCACAATGAGGTTCCAAGCAAATCCCACTCGGATTCCAGCAGGGTCCCAATCGGACCCAATCAGGATTCCAATTGGATTCAGCATTTTCCTTCTTGCCCCCTCTCCCCCCCCGCGGCAATTGTTTCCCGTGCGTGTTGGCGGCCGAATAACACGGTCAGTGGTATTCTCTGGCCTGGAGCCCTCCTCAGAAAAGCAGAAACAATCGCCTGATGGGGGTATCATATGGAATCTACATATCCGCAGACTCTCCCTGCATATCCGCAGACTCCCCCCTGTTTCAGCCACTCTTTCTCTCTCTATGTCTCTCCATGTCGATGGTTTCGGATTGTTTTCCTACGGCCTGCCAGAATGACCCACTTCCCTATAGAATCACAATGGGGGTCCAAGAGATTTACTGGGCCCCAGTTGGATTACAAGCGGACCCCAACCGCATTCCATCAGTGTTCAAAGACTACCCCAATCGAATTGCATTCGGATTCCTTCGTCCTCGTCGTCGTCGTCGTCGTCGTCGTCGTCGTCGTTGCCGTCGTCGGCCACGGCGGTCCCACGCAGCCCCCCCCCGCCCCCCCGGGGCACCCGCAGCTCGTCGTCGCCGTCGTCGTCGTCGCCGTCATCGCCGTTCGTTTGTCGACCGACCACGGCGGGCCAACGCAGCACCACCCATTCCCCCACGGGGCATCAACAACGACGTTGTCGTCGTCGTCTTCGTCTTCGTCTTTGTCGCCGCCGTCGTCGTCGTCGTCGACTACGGCGGGCACATGCGGCCCCACACACCGCCCGCGCATCCGGCATTCGCAGCCAGTCGTCGTCGTCGTCGTCGTCGTCGTCGTCGTCGTCGTCGTCGTCGTCGTCGTCGACCGACTACGACGGGTCCACGCAGCCCCCCCACCCCGCATGGGGCATCCGCAGCGCGTCGTCGTCGTCGTCGTGGTATTTGTCGTCGTCGGCGTCGTCGTCATCGTCGTCATCGTCGTCGAAATCAAAAAAATCGTCGACCGACTACGGCGGGCCAATGCAGCACCACCCAAGTCCCTACGGGGCGTGCGCAGATCGTCGTCGTCGTCGTCGTCGTCGTTCGTCGACCGAGTACGGCTGGCCCACGCAGCCCCTCCTTCTAACGGGGCATCCGCAGCCTATCGTCGTCGTCTTCGTCGTCGTAGTCGTCGTCATCGTCGTCGTCGTCGAAGCCAAAAGCGTTCGTCGACCGACTACGGTGGGCCAACGTAGCACCACCCAATTCCCTACGGGGCGTGCGCAGATCGTCGTCTTCGTCGTCGTCGTCGTTCGTCGCCCGGTTACGGCTGGCCCACGCAGCCCCTCCTTCCCACGGGGCATCCGCAGCCCGTCGTTGTCGTCGTCGTCCTCCACTACGGCGGGCCCACGCAGAACCTCCACCCATGGGGCATCCGCAGTCCGTTGTCGTCGGGCCAGCGCAGCGCCCCCTCCCCTGCCCCCCACCACCCTCCTGGGGCATCCGCAGCGCGTCGTCGTTGTCGTGATTATCGTAGACTGCGGCGGATCCCCACAGCACCTCTACCCTCCATTGGGCATCTGTAGCACGTCGTCGTCATCGTCGTCGTCCGTCACCGTCGTCGTCGACTAGGCTCGGCTGGTGGTTGTGATGGTTCTCCTGGCCAAGTTTGCGTGGTGTCGGTGAGAACCAAAGCAGGGTTCCTCTTCGATGAAAACAAGAGAAGGGATCCTCGTTTGCTCTGCGTACTCTGCTCCCACCGTCACCCCCGGGGAATGATTGGATCATTTCCATCTGCCGGGGTGATAAACACTATCGCTCGGCGGTTTCCCTCCTCCTCGCTTGGGGGTTGATGAATCAATATGAGTGCTAATGCTAAAGCCAGGGAGATCGATCATTGGATCTCGCAGCTGCCGGGCCCCCCCCCCTCGGCGATCAGTGGGCAAGTGGGCGCCGATGCGTCCCCCCTGAGCCTCTCCCTCCCCCTTGAAGTGGCGCTGCCCCAGGCCACCTCCTCCTCCCGCCACCTCCTCCCTCCTCTGGGCGGCGAGCGAGGGGGGGCAGTGAGAAGGGGCAGGCCTTCTCAGAAGGCTCGGAAATCCCCCGGCCCCCTGAGAAGTTTTCCAAGCCTTCCCCGAAGACACAGAAAAACGTTCCGAAGGCGGCAGGGCTTCTGAGAAGTCCCGCCGCCTTCTGAGAAGGCCTTCTAATTGTCATTTCCCCCCCCCTCGCTCGCCGCCGATGCTCGCTGGGGGTGCCCCGTGGAGAAAGGGGCCTCTCCCCTCCACCATCCACGCCGGCTCTCTCTCTCTCTCTCTCTCTCTCCCTTTCGATGGTTCCCGAGTGTTTTCCTACAGGATCCCAAGGGGACCCAACTCCCAAACTGATTCCAACATGATTCCAATGGGGTTGGTTACTGGGCTCCAGTGGGGTTCCAAACGGACTCCAACTGCATCCCAACAGCATTCAAAGAAGACCCTACTCGGATTGCAATATGTTTCCTCCGACCAGGTCGTCGTCGTCGTTCTTGCCGTCGTCGGCTTCGGCGGGCTCACTCAGCCCCCCCTGGGGCATCCACAGCGCGTCGTCGTCGTTGCCGTCCTTGCCGTCGTTGCCGTCGTCGTCGTCGTCGTCGTCGTCGTCGTCGTCGCCGCCGCAGTTTGTTCGTCGACCGACCACGGCGGGCCCAAGCAGCAGTCCCCCCCACCCATGGGGCATCCTCAGGCAGCGCCGAGGTGGTCGTCGTTTTCGTCGTCGACGTCGCCATCGTCGATGCCGTCGTCGTCGTCGTCGTCGTCGTCGTCGTCGTCGTCGTCGTCGTCGTCGTCGTTGCCGCCGTTGTCGGCTACGGCAGGCCTCTGCCCTCCACCATCCACGCCGGCGTCGAGAACCAGCCCTCGAGGCGCCCGGCGCCGATGCATTCGGAGGCTGGCAGGGAAGAGAACTGCGCGCTCACGTGCTCCTCCGCTGGGGGGGTGTCTCTGCCGACGATGCCGACGCCGCCGCCGGCCGCCTCCGCTGACGCAGACGCCGACGACGCCGCAGACGACGACGCCGACGCCGACGACGCCGCAGACGACGACGCCGACGCCGCCAAGGGACGACGACGACGACGACGACGCCGACGACGCACAGGGACGACGACGACGACGACGAACTATGCGCTCACGTGCTGCTGTGCTTGGTGGGGGCACGAAAAGCACGCGAGCGCGCTGGAAGCATCAGAGGAGGCGATGCCAGGACGAAAATCAATTGGGCGATGATATATCCAGAATCCCTGAGATCCATGTGTTCTGGAGGATGTCTCGGGTGCAGCGGCCTTTTCAGAGCGTTCCGTATCGCTCTAAGAGAATTCTGGAACGCTCTGGAACGGATTTATCCTCGTCCTAGCCCCGTCCCAGGATCAGATGAGCAGAAGGTATTGATACTGGTGCTCGTCCTGGGGAGCCCTCGTCGCCATGGCTGTGTGTTCCTCGAAGTTCTGGTCTGGTCAGAACGGACCCCAGGAGAGGTCCGTGGACAGGCGTTCTTCGTGCCTTGCTGCCCCCACGAATGACTGCGTACGTTAGGCCCCGCAGCACTGGTGGGACGGTCCCTTCTTCCCCCGCCTACTAGCACACCTTGCCGACTCTTCCTGCTTGCTCCCCCCTTCAACAGGGCCCCCCTCGGTGAAACCCAGACCCGGCGGGCGCAGGCCCGGCGCAAACTGCGGCCGCAACCGCTCTCCCGAGAGCCGACGACAAGGCCAGTATGACAAGGCCAGACAGGTGCCGCTGCTTTAACCTCCTGCCCTACCACCTTTGTTTGGGTGTACAGTGGAGGCCAGTCCACAAGAAACCTCCCACATGGAACCTAACCCTGAGACCCAGGACGTCCATTGATCCTTGGTGTGGGAGCGTCACGCTCTTCGAAGCAAAACCATCGAAACCCAAGAAACCAAGGGCACCCTTAAGGCAAGCAGGGTGTTCTTGGCATGGGTCTCCACTGCATGCGTCTTGGTTTTTGGGGGGTTGGGGGGGCAACGGGAGGGAGACGCGGGTAGCCAATGGTCAACGTTCCACCTGTGCGTCACACTGCAGTGCCGAGGCCCGGGCATGAGCGTGCAAACTGCAGCGGGAGGCAGCTCGCGCATGCTGGACTGCGCCACACCGAAGACACCGAGCTGGACTTCTGCGGCGGCCCCTGCCCAGACCGGACGGCGCGCCCAGGGACGAAGTCAGTTGGCACTGGAATTCTCTTGGGCTCTTGGAGTTCTTTCACCCCCAGGGCGCCTCCCAAATCGACAGCCTTCTGGAGACGCAGCCAAGGCGAGGAGAAGTCGGGAATCCCTGAGAGCCAACTGGTCTGGACGATGTATCAATCGCCGCTGCCGTGTCATAACGCTTCAGGACTAAAGCTGAAGTTTAGCTAAAGGGGCCCAGGGACACACGGATAAATAGATACAAATCCCACGAATCCCTTATATTCTCAATATTTTCTGGATTTTCGTCTCCCGCTCCACGTCCCATGTTTTCCAATATTTTCTTGGGAATCAGCGGTGATTTGCGTCTGTGTCCCCCCCTCCGAAGGACGGCTCTCAGAGCGATCTGGGACGCTCCGGCATGATGGCCCTCGTCCCAGGCCTGCCTGACTTCTGGAGACCCCCGCAATCGTTTCGAAGGGCCCGCTCGGCCCCAGCCTGCGGCCGAAGGACGCGCCCAAACCTCCCGCGGCGTCTGGCGATGTTTAGTGAATCGTGGCTTTCAGAACACAGTCGGGCCTAGGCCAGAAGAACATCCCTCAATAACATGAGACCAACCGCCGGCCAAAAGAAACATAACCTCCAAGGGTACATATCCCCAGGATGCACAAGAGCACCCAACAAACACGAAGAACCTCAGGGTACCCCTCCGAGCCGACCTCGAGCTTACACCTCGGTGCGACTGTAGACTTCCGGGCCTGGAGCCCACACAGTCGACCCCAAAAACCCTGGACCCAAAAAGGATGACGTCTCACTCCCTCCTGTTGCCATCGCTCGAACGTCCGCTCCCCGTGCATTCGTTGGTTCCGCGCGTGCTTTTTTGCCAGATGATCTGGGATGCTCCTCGATGGTCCTCGCCGAAGAAAAGATCACACGTCCGGGCGATGCCAAGTCCACTGCGGCCCCGTCCGCCGACCATCCGCCAGCTTCGGCCGGCGGACTTCCGCCCCCCCGTTCTGCCTCCCTCTCGCTGCGCTGCCCCCCCCCCCCCCCCTAGCAGTCGCTGGAGGCCACGTGCTGGGCCTGCAGATGCTGGACCGCGCCGCACCGAGAGCACCGCGGGAACGACTCGGCCAGGCGAGACTCGGCCAGGCCTAGCTCGGCCAGGCTTGACTCGGCCAGCTGACCTCGGCCAGGCCGAGCACTGCCTGCCGCCCGCAAGGGGGGGCCACCGGACCTTCGTTTGGAAGGGTGCCCTCCAGGGGAGCGCAGGCGGGCCCTGCAGCACCAAGAGGGTGCGGGTTCTGCTACTGCCAGCTTCCGCCGAGGCCGATGGCGCGCGCCGAGGGCGAGGCCCTTGCTGCAGGAGCGGGGGAGGGGCGCCACCACCACCACAGCGCGAGGAGCCGCAGGGGGGGGGAGGGGTCATCCTGGTGGTGTGGTCCCCCTCTCCCCCCGCTCGAGACAGCCCCCCCCCCAGCTCGGGGAGGCCTGCGCGGAAAAGCCGCGAGGCGGGCCGAGGAGCTCCCAAGCTCCCCGGCCCGTGGAGAGCAGTCGGCGCGCCAGGGAGTGCCAGTGTCCCGCCCGCCGCCCCAAGAAGAGGCAAGGGGGCCAGGAGGGAGGGGAGTATGAGAGCGTGTGCTCGTTTTCCCAGCGGGGCGCGCTGGTAGGCCTCAGTGCGGCTGCTCGTGCAATCGCAGGACGGACGAGTACGACGAAGTAGGCCCACCAGCACGATGTCCAAGCAAAGCATGTCTATACTCTGAGCAGCGAGAGGGGGCAAGATGGGAGGGGGAGGGGTGCAAGAGGATGCGCAGGGGGAGGGATGTGGGGGGATTGGCTCAGCGGGGTTAAAAGGCCCAAGCAGGGGGAGATGGGGAGCGCATGGGGGAGTGAGGGGAGAGGAGGGGGAAGTGAAGCGGGGGGATGGGGAGTAGATGCACGGGGGGGCAGAGGGACAGGGGTCGGGGGGAGGGCGGCGGGGTACGGGGGTATGGGGGGAGGGCGGAGGTAGGGGACGTGCCCGTTCTTGCCCTCCACCCGCCTCCATGTAGCCAGGTCGGCCACCTTTGCCTGGAGAGCCACGGCATGATAGGACAACCCGCAGGCAGAAACATCAGACGAGCGAGCGACCTATGAGGTACCGTTCCGGGGTCCCTCACCATGTTCCCCTCCCCCCCCGCACCCTTACCCGTTCCCCTCCCCCTCCCCCTGAAGGCCGGGAAAAGGCTCTGGCATTTCGATTCGTCGTTCTCGAGATTCGTTTCCGATTCCGGCGTTTTGATTCGGTAAACATTTAATTTCTTAGATCACGAGATCTACCTCAATCTCACTTTCGCCTGGATGACTCTAGAACCTAGGGACGCTGGCGATGACCTATTTCGAAAGGGTCTGGTTCCACTTCCGTCGACCTTCCGCCGACAAGAACGCGTCCACTGATTTTTAAGAACCTTCCGCCGATTTCTACTGAGCCGGAGTGGCCAACCGTTGGCATCATCCAAGAAGGTATCATTTCTGGAGCTAGCCGCGTGGTCCAAGCTGCTTATGGAGCTGTTCTTGCCGTTCTTCTCTTCGCGCTCCGATCTGCTACTTTGCGTGCTTGGCTGTTGGCTGACATCTGTGTTCCTGTCGAGACCAGCACTCGGAGAGCCCACACCCTAAGCCGAAAGGGGCTCGTAGGGATGGCTGGTCGGCCAACCCTCGTGCCCGGGGTCTCGATCCGCTGAGGGCTCGCAAGAAATCCAACCCTGGCCTAACCATGTGTGCGCATCGCGGGCTTCCTGCCAGGGCGCTGCGCTCGGGCAGAGAGGATGGCGGGGGGGGGCGAGGAGAGAAATGGTAGTGGGGCGGTGGGAGACTGGAGAAACTAACATGTCCAGTATACATACACAGATAGAAACATGCATTGGATTTGTGTGCGCAGGGGAGAGGAAAAGAGAGAGAGAGAGAGAGCGGGATACACAGGCAGAACGGCACGATTTCAGCCCTGTTGGGAGATGCAGCCTTGCCTCTGTGTATACATGTTTGTGCACATGTGGTATATTCGGCGCTTTGCGGGCTCGAAGTCTATGCCACAGAGAAGCTGAACATGTGATGTTGAACATGTGATACCTCAAGAGCCTGACTGGTTTTGCATCTTCCCCGGGATGTAGGAGATTGCCAGGGTTGGCAGGGGGGCATCTTGCCTGGGTTGGGACAAATCAGCTGGCCTACAATCATTCTGAATTCCCTCGGTAACACGGGTTTCGGTATATCCGCCTTGAAAGCTGGGTCTGTCACGCATGCGCGCGTCAGCGCGTACAATCCAGCTGCAAACTGTTGCAACTTTGAAGCCAAGTCGCCTTTGCCCTTGCTCTTGTTGGGGTCCATGCTGGCGCTGTCTCCACGTTCTGGCACCGCACAAGCGAAACGGGCGCGCGGAAACCCTCCCCTTGGCCTGAAAAGCTCGCGGCGGAAGGCGACGAAGACTGGAACGGGGGGAAGTTGCATGCCGAGCGTGGTGACATGTGAGGCTGTCTACACAATGCAGAAGAACGGTGTTCGGACGGAGCGCTCACACGAACGATGCTGGATAATTGACCCCCAATGCCACCAATGCAAGTTGGAGTGATGAGTTTCCCGCTGGAGTATCCTCGATATGCCTTCTGTGGCGGAAGGTGCGCAACGGGCGTCCATGATTGCATTCGTATCCGCTCGATTCCCTTGCCTCCAATTCTCTCCAACCCCTCACCACAATCAATGATCGCCCATGCATTCATTGAAAGATGACTTAAACAGTTCACTCGCCACTCAGGCGAGTTCTGCAGCATACAAGACTGGGCAGTGAGCCCACATCTTGTACAGTACTGCATACCACACCTCGGCAGCAACTTGCACGCACATGGATACCTTACTCAGGAGCGGCGATTCAGCTGGTTATCTGGGACGACGTCGAACTCAACTCCTCCATTCATTGCAGCGGTAGCTATGAGAAGCATGCCGATGCTGCACCCCTCGGGGCTTGTCCTCTCAAAGCATGCGAATCTCCTCCTGCACGGGACAAAATGCATCAGGCGTATCCCCCTGCGGGCCGTCAATTGGGCTGTCTACCTCAGGTGCCAAATCAACGTCCTCATCCATCCCGCAGGAGCGAGATCGCGCGCCAACGAAACCGCACGGCGCCGCGGCAACCATGTGAGAGTCCCTGTCGAACACAAAATGTCGAGGATGCCGCCCGTATACCTCGGCATATGGGGTGACCTCGTGTTCCGTGTTGAGCTCCTCGCAGAAACGCACCCGCCGGGTTTTGCAGAACAGGGGCAATGGCCTGGGGGCGACAGGGGTCCGAAACACAGCTGCGAGAAAAGGGGCACAAACAAAACGACACTGACGTGTTATACTGTCTGCACCTGGTGTGTGAACATGGCATGGTAATGCGCACCTGCTTGCACCACATGCGCCAGAACCGTGTCGCATGCGTGTCACACCGCACTCCTCACTTTTCCTCTGAGGGCGGCCATGCCCACACCGTGTGGCAGCATGGCCTTCACTCGTGACCCCGCGCCTCCCCCGCAGGGCTCGGAGGCCCGGGTCAGGCCCGCAGGAGACGCCTAAGAATCCAAGGCCGCCCACGGCCCCACGGCGGCACCCAGATCGAAACCCAGCCGGACCGATAGCCACACCGAAACTGACCGATGCCGACAGGCTGCCAGCAGCCCAGGAGGGCGCAGCAGCACAGCAACGCCACGACGGCCGACCGAGCCGAGCCGACCGAACGCAGCTGACCGCGAAGCAGCCGAAACGACCGAAGCGCGGGCACTCTTGGAATCCCCCCAGAGACCCAGCAGGAGAACGTCACGGAGCCCCCAGGACCATTCGAGATCGAATCTGGACGAGTTCGGGATGTCCAGAATGGGGCCTTCTGTGTCCCAGCATGCGTCGGAACAATTTCGTGACGATTTCGGGATCCCGTTAGAAGTCATTCGAAAACCCTCCGGAATAGTCTGGGAAGTCATTCCGAAACAAGAATCCTAAAGGCTATCCTTGGGAGACTCTGAGGAGTCCAATGGGAAATCCGTCGGAAGCCCTTGACACTCCTTTGGGGGATCCTTCGGACACCAAGTTGATTCCTGCGAGTAATCCTTCGGAAACCCTTTTCGGAATCATATAAGAAAACCTTCGGACACCCCTTTGTGATCCTATGGGGGCGGGATCCTTCGGCAACCCTCAGGATTCTGATGGGACCTCCGATGGGAAATCCTTAGGAACCTCTGGGGAATCATTTTGAACCCTAACGAGTGTATGGTCTTCGGGCAACCTGGGCTGGTTCGGTCGTTCGGCAGGGTGGCGGCCGCGACGCCCCGCTGCATTGGAGGAGGAGGCCGAGGGGAAGGAGGGAACCAGGAACGGACAGGAGAAGAATAGATGGGGGTGGGAATATATGGGGACGGATGAGGACGAGTCGCGCTCGCGCGTGGAAACACCTCCCAATATCTCGTCGTTGTCGTCGTCGTCGTCGTGGCTGCCGTCGTCGCTGGTCGACAGGATGGCGACCGCGACGCCTCGATTCGCGGCTGATCTACACCATTGTCGTATATTATTGGGAAGTGTGTGTGTGTGTGTGAGATACCGACCACCCGGTGGCACAACGATGCACATCGTCTTCGTGGTCATCCTCATCTCCTGGGCCTCTCTTCACCAGTTGGTGGCACCTGTTGCTCTTCGCCTACCTGGTGTACCTCTACCTCCCGGATGTCGACATGGTTACGTCCTTCCGCACGCAGCACTTGAGGATGGTGATTTTGACGCGCCGTCGACGGCAACACCACTTCGCTCTCCCTCTGGGACTTCGCCTCCGGCCCCTGTCCAAGGCGTACCTTTTCCTGTGCAAGCTCTTCAACACCGCCTGCACCCCGCGCCCTCCGGCCGCCTGAGGCCCCGCCCGCCCGCGCCCTGTCTCCCCAATTAGTGCTTTGCGCGGCCCGCCTAGCTCTTAACCGGAAGAGGCTCGCTCTCGACCCGCACACCAAAAAGTGTGTGCGTGTGAGAGATTGCATGCCGTGGCCGACAGGCCCGAATAGTCTGCTGGGTAATCCCTGGGTGCCCCGCGTCGCCCGCCCTGCGGACCGCAGCTGCCAAGCACCAGAAGTCCACGAACATCAAACTGCGACATCACAAGCGCGCGTGTAGAACAGGCGTAACTAACAGACAACCCCGCCATGGAGGAGTCAAGGAGTCACGCTTGAAGCCATATTGAGATCATGTTGCGGACAGGTTGAAACCATGATGAGGTCATCTTGCGATCGCATTGGCGTCATATTGCGGCCATCTGAACACTGTTCAAGATATTGTCCACGATGCTGTTCACGATATATTTGAGGATGGTGTGTTGGATCTTGTCCAGGTGTTCAGGATCTGGTCTCGCATGCGGTGACGGGCCTCCTGTTTCAGGATATCTGTGCGTGTGCGTCTTGGCCAAATTCTGGTTGATAATTGCGTTTCTGAGAGGGTTAATTGTGACATTGTTCCGCATGCCATTTCCTTTTTTTTTTTTTTTTTTTTTTTTTTCTCTCTCTCTCTCTCTCTCTCTCTCTATATATATATATATGTTGGGGCCTTCTTGGGTATTTCTTGCGCCCTATTGGTGCTTTCTAAGAGGGCCCGGAATCTAAAACTTGATACAATACGCTCTCCAATGAGGAGGCGGTTTGTGTTAACTATGCGTTGCATTATTGGCCTTCTTGGAAGCCTTCTTGGGGCTTCAGAGGGCTCTGAGAGGGCCCAGGAGGGCCCCAAGATGGCTCCAAGAGGACCCAGAGTTTAACGCGAGACGCTCTCAAACAAGGAGGCGGTTTGTGTTAAACGTGTGTTGAATTCTTGGCCTTCTCGGACGCCTCTTAAGGGCCGTCAGGGGGCTCCCGCAGGGCCTCAAGAGACCCAGGAGGGCCCCGCGGGGGCTCCAAGACGGCTCCACGAGGGCCCGACATTCCACACCAGCACCAGCACCACGGGCAGCCCAGGCAGCACCAGCAACATCGACGCCAGAACCAGCAACGTCTGTAGCAACAACAGCGAGAGAGAGAGGCAGCAACGGAAAGCTGATTCCAAGATGGACGGACCCAGGAGGGTTTTGAAAGGATCACGAGATTACCCCTGTCACCCCAAGATGCCCACCCCTGCTAAGCAATGGCCCCAATATGACCCCAGAGCGACCCTGCGGCCCCAAAAGAACACCGAGACGAACCCATTGTCTTCCGACTGAGCTAAGGCTACCGCGTGACCCCGATGTTAGGTGACCCCGGGACGACTCCATGAGCCCGAGACGACTTCGAGATTGCCCCAAGATGACCCCTTCAAACCCTAGTTGACGACCCCAAGATTGTGTCAATATGGCTCTGTGACTCCGACACGTTTCTTAATCTGCTCTTGCTCTTGGCTTGGGCCGATAGACGGATGGGGGTGCTGGCCCTCCGCCCCCTCATCGTCGTTTTATTCCTCCTCCCCCTCGTCTACGTCGCCCTCGTCGTCGTCGTCGTCGCTGTCCGCTTGGCCCCCTGGGCCCATACAGAACAAAAAACCGAATCCCGAACACACACCGAATCCATCTATTCTCTGATAATGTTTATGATGGTATGTAGGATCGTACCGATGATGCTGCTAAGTCTATTGCGTAGGATGCGTTTCATGATATCTGCTTGGGTATTGGTCAGGATGAAGCTTAGGAGCTGTTTATTATAATATTGAATATGTTGCTTCTGATGTTGTCACGGGTATTGATTGCGATAACGTGATGCGATTGCTTCGGATATTGTCTCGGGTAGTGTCTGTTGACCATTGGAGGGGGAATTGTCGAGACTAGTGTTTAGGATATTGGTGATAATTTTGGTTGGGGGGATACTTAGGATAATGGTTGGGATATATCCTTGCGAATTACATATGTGCAGGTGATGACATGTGCACAAGATGACATGCACACTTGCGCACGATAGCGCGTCCACCCATAATGGCGGGCACTGAAAGGCCAAACTGAGATTCGCTGACAAATCCTCCAGACTGAATGTTCGGCAACAGGGGGCAACTTCACTTTCGATCACTGATGTCGCTCGTCGTGTAATCCCCATTGGGACACAAGAAGGCCATCACCACCACTCCAGGGGACACAGAAATCCCAAACGGGATACAGAAATCCCCACGTGGGCACATAAAGTATCCGTCGCGGCCTCAACAGGCCCCGCGAGTAGCCCGCAGCGGTCTCAACAGCCCGGCACCGCCTCTGGCGGCGCCCGTGGACCGCTGGGCGCCCCGTGGTTGGAGTGTTGGGACCGCCCCGGGCTACTCGGGGGGGCTGCCGGGAAGAGCTGGGGCAGACTGGGGGGTTGCTGTCTGCGCTCGCACTTCCAAATGACCCTCCGAGCCTGCCGAGGAAAACCACACAGAAGGGAGGCCCCAGAGCAGACCCCAGAGGAAGTCGCCCAACAGACATCTTGACAATCATGCAGCGCCGCTGCCGTGCCACGCAGCAGCGTAGCCTTCCCAGGAACGATGGCGGGCGTGAGTTGTAGCGCAATTCTGCGACATATGCGACCATCTGCATGAGGCATCACGATCTCTTCCGGGTGTAGATCAAACATATCCAGATCGTCTGTGCATCTTGCCACGCGTGAATCTAGCGCCTAGATGTCCACCCGCGCGTTTGTTGCTTTGCGGCAGGTGCATGGCAATTAATTATGCCGATGTGCGCGTTGATACTGCCATTCCCCATCCAGATCGTCACTGCCGAGCTTACATGTGTACATGCCCTCGAATTGCCACGCATGACACGTGCACACAGTATCACAGAAGCGTGTGCATCGTCGTGGCGCGCATCAGATGTGACACACTTAAGCAAGCTTCCATCCCACATGTACGGATATACACATCTGCAGGCAAATGTTCGTATGCACTTATTTCCAGGGAGCCGTACAACCCCCTGGCGAGGAAGCTGCAACAATAAAGGCTCGCATTATCGCGTGGACTTTTCTGATCCGCGCTGGACCCCTCCCTGGCGCATGGAGCGTGTCCAAGGCGGCGCCAGAAGCCCCGCCAACGGGGTCCAGCGCCGACCCGAGAAATCTGCGCGGACCTCCGAAACATGTATGTTTTTGCGCAGAAGCTGTCTTTGCTTTGATCAAATGTCCCCTCAAGTCTAGCCGATCATGAAACGGCACATTCTCGGCGATCGACGTTCGAATGGGGGTTGGTGCAGGGCCCCATAATGGGATCAGGGCGTGAGCAAGGGCATGAAAGAAAGAAGGATCGCCTACGGCGAGTCCGTGCCGTGACGCCCCTGGCGTTGGTCTCTGGCACCGCGTGGATCGCTCAACCTTCGGCACATCGATCGCCAGATCCTTCTATGTTAACGTTGGAAGATCCTGGGCTCCTGGCGGCGTTCAACCTGGAGCGCCCGCGGCGGGGCCGCTGCCGCGTCGTAACGACACGAACATGACGTACTGGAGGCCTCCCAGATGGGGTCCGAGTAGATGGGGTCGGAGGTTCGCGCAGCATCGACGATACACCAGCGATGCATCGGCGATGCATTGCCGATACATCGGCGACGTCGGCGGCGCATCGGTGAAGCCAGCGCGGATAAAATGGGGCTCCACATCGAGCCGCATCGCCGATGCATCGGCGATTTGGCGCGATCCTCCGACCCCATGCGTGGTCCGTCGCCGCGCGGTCCGTCACCGCACGGTTTTGGAGCTCGGAGGCCCCAATCGCCCGAGACACCCTCGAAGAACGACCCGAGCCCCAAAACCGTGCGTGGACCGGGACTCCCCACCGAATCACCACGCGGTGTGGCCACCACACCGTTTGGGGGTCCCCGACGTACACCCGTGGCCCCAAGGGCCTGCAGAACAGCGGCACAGGCAGCTGCGCGGCGAGGGGCGCGACGGCCAGCAGGCCGCCACCCAGCCGCCGAAGGACCTTGGCGGCGGCGGCCGCCGCCGCGTCCCCGGGGAGCGCCGCGGGCGCGCAGCCGCGGAAGCCGGCCTGTGGGCAGCCACCGGCCTACCCAGCCTCGATCTTATCCCTATCCCCAAGACTGACAAGCCCAAATAAGATGACAGACTTGGGAATGCGCCCTCAGAAACTGAGGAAATCCTCGAGATCGGCACCGAGATCAGGCGAAGCGAATCATGGGGATAAATATATTTTCCAGGCTGGCAAGGACGGAATCCATATCCGTATCCACGGCCTCGCGGGCCGGGGCCCCTGGGCCGAATGGATGCGGGGCGTTCTTTTTGCGGACGCTCCGTGCGCAACGTATATCCGTGCGACCGCACGTCCACGGGGTCGCGTCCCGGAAGCCAGACCGCGAGGGCGTGGATATGGATACGCTCGACGCTGGCGAGGCAGGGGGGCGCCCTTGACGCGTCTTCGATGGCCACGTCGAGGGGCGCGACGGTCAGCACACCGCCGCCCAGCCGCCCGAGGAGCTTGGCGGCGGCGGCCGCTGCCGCGTCCTCGGGGGGCGCTGCGGGCACTCGGCCGCACCACGGGCACGCGCAAAACTTTCGGCAATGCGCGCGGATCTCTCGGCTCGGCGCTGGGTCCCTCTGGCGACGCCCGCGGCGCCGTCCCCGGCGAGCTCCGCGCGCAAGGGAAAGGGGGTCCAGCGCGGATCCAAGAGACCCGTGCGGAGTACCGAACGTTTGCGGATGTTCAATTTTTCCTCCTGCGTGCCTCAGGGCAGGGGCCGCTGGCGCGCCGGCTTGCGCTCGCGCCCTCCTCGGGAGCTTTACGGGGAGGCGTTCGAGATGAGGGACTGGACCGCTTCTGATAGGAGAGGGGCCCTGGATTTCGTGCCTCGCCCTCGCATGCAGCAGGATTGGGAGGTTGAACTTGCAAGAGAGCATCTGAAGCCCACTGTGTCCCATCCGACTACCCCAACAATTAGTCATCTTCCGTTTTCCCTCGATACACACTTCCGAGGCCGCACGGACCACACGAGTGTTCCCCCTCAAAATGGCTCCCAAGACACCCAACATGACCTCAAGAGGCCCCCACGAAGCCCCCAGAGGGCCCACTAAAGACCCTGGGAGCTTTGAACAACTCCACGAAATAAACCCTCATGCCTCCAATGCCCCCCCACCCAGAAACCCGGCAACAGACACGGAGGATGAGGACGAATCAGTAAAAACTACACTCGCACTAGAAACAACAACACACACGACATCGGAAACTGCCCATCCGTTCTCCGATCTTATCATGTTGGTCTACATGTTGACCATCCAGAATTGTGTACAACGCGAAATGTGCTGATGCGCAACGCACTTCATTGCAATGCACGTGATGCGAAAGCTTGTTACCACTTCAATGCTCCCCGCCGTGCAAAATATCACCCGCTCCCTGTACGTGCTATAGTCATTGCGTGTATCATGTTGCTTATGCACCACGTCTGCTATGCATGCCACTACTTGTGTGTATGCGCGCACGCTTTTGTCATCTACAAATGTGCACGACCCATGCACATGTGAATATCACAGAACCGTCTTAGCGTACAATTGATGCTGTGCATAGAATTCATGTATTCGTTGTAGTGCTTGCGCGCAGAAGTTTTGACACAATATGTAGTTGGTGTGGCTACATTATTGCGCATGCGCACCGCAATGCCTGCGAGCACCATCGTACCGCGATGCATCAGCCAGCGCTCGTGGGGTGCGACGCACACATACACACACACGCACACACGCCTACACACACACGCACACACACACACACACACGTGCATCAGAGCACCTGTACGCGTAACAGCTGATGTTCTAACACCAACAACCCACTACGATGAATACTGTGTGGGGCCCACAAATATTATTTAACACCTCTTTTTTCCTGTCAACACCGCAGGCTCCAACGCAAGCGCATGTGTATACAGTTTGAGTGCCATTCGTTCATTGGCAAGCACACAGACGTTTCCCGAAGACGAGCTTCTGGATTTTCGGTTTGCTTGTCAGATTGCGTGCAACACTCGCTGTGCATGCGCGATAGCACAAACGCGGTTGCTTTGTCCAAAGTGAAAAGAGACATATGGAATTGACGGAACCGCATTACGTGTCCGGACCCCATTTTCCGCTAGAGCAAAATGCGGCATTTCTTATATGACCATGTTGTGTAGCGGTTGCATTTGAATCTTGCGTACACGCACATCCCTTCCATCTCTCTTACGTTTGATCATGTCATCGCGTATAGCATCTCGTCCGGGACGTCACTTTCCATCCTGCACGCAATAAAAAAAAACCCACCATAAACTGTGCACTGGTCCGAAGGCTCCACTGTGGGTCATATTCGAACGGTTTTGAGCGACATTGGGAAGGCTTCGAAGATCTTTTCTGTTGTGTCGAAATTGGGGCATCAACATTGGTCCGTAGCTAACGTTGCCGAATCGGAAGCTGCGCTTTATCTCGGATGTCGATCCTTCCGCCTTACTGCGCCAGTTGGCTTTATGTTCGCGTGCTAGTATAAACTATCGCAGCTGGTCAACTAACTGTCTGATTATTCCACCCATCACCGAAGCACTGTACGATGCTCGGTTCTTGCCATAACTCTGATAGATATGCAACACGCTTGTTTGCTAGGGTAAAAAGGGGCATACTTGTCAACCCTCGTGGATACACACCAACGCTTACAGTAAACGTCGGTAGATAGTTGTGTAAACTTTGAGAGACGGGGTGTCATCCTCCTTCTCATGAGCTGCGGCCTCATATACTCTCATGGCAGGCAGGCGCAATCCCGGTGTCGACGTCGTCGTCGGCGTCGTCGCCGCCGTCGTCGTCGCGGTCGCGGGTGGGGAAGGGGAAAGAGGGAGAGAAGGTGAATGGAGGGAAGCAGGCAGGTAGGGAATAACAGAAGCAGACAGGCGTGAGAGGCACATAGGGAGAGGGCGGGAAATGGAGAGAGGGATGGATCAACGGATGAGTCGGGGTTCATCCTCTTTCTTTTTCCTTCGTTTCTTGATGCCTTTTCTCCTCCTCCTCCTACTCTTCCTCCTCTTCCTGCTCTTCCTCCTCTTCCTCTTCTTCCTATTCCTCCTCTTCCTCCTCTTCCTCATCCTCCCTCCTCGTCATCTTCCTCCTCCTCCCTCTCCTCATCCTCCTCCTCGTTATCCTCGCCTGCGTGCTCTGCCTCCGCGCTCCTCCTCCCCTCCTCGCCCTCTTCTTCCTCTTTCGACTGAGAACATGCTTGTCGCTGCCTGTCGACCTGCGAGAAGCTGCAAAACGCGCAGAAAATGCCCAATTGAATCATTCGAAAACAACCTTGGGGATGGGAAGTGAGGAGGTGGAGCTTGGAAATGAAATAGCAATGTCACCTGGATCGTGGGCCAAAAACTTGTAGGTTGTTCGATGGGATGCTGACGGAAGCCGTGCGGGGGCCTCGTGGGGGCCGTTTCTAAACCTCCTGGGGGCCTCCTGGGGCGAAAGATTCGAAATTTCGGTTCATGATCCCTCTCTGGAGTTCATCTCGGGGCCGTGTTGAAGGCCTCGGAGGCCGTCCCGAATGCCCCTGGGGCCGTCAAGGAGCGCTGTTCAGCCGTCCCGGGGCCCTCCTGGGCACCTCTGGGCCCGTCCTGAGGCGGTGTTGAAGGCCTTTTGGGCCGCCGTGGATTGTCGGGAGCTTGAAGAGTGGAGGAGCCCAATAACAAAGAAGAACCAAAGGGAAATCAAGTCTTGATGCTCTTCGGGGCACTGGTCTGGGGCCTCGGGCGCCATCTGGAGCCTGCCCGGGGCCGTCCTGGCGCCTTCTTGAAGCCTCTGGGGAACTTCATGAAGCGAGAGACTCGAAATTTCGGTTCATGCCTCCCTCTGGAAACCATCTTGGGGCCGTCTTGAGAGCCTCGTGGGCCGTCTTGGGCGCCCCTGGGGGCGTCATGGAGCCTTGCTAGGCTGTCCAGGGGCCTTCCTGGGGGCCGCTGGGCCCGTCCGGAGCGGTGTCGGAAGCCTCGTGGGGCGTCGTGGAGTGTCAGAGTGTCGAGAAAGAGAGGGCACCGAAAACATTGAAAAACCGAGGCGAAGCAATGATTTTTGCTTTTCGGTGCGCTCGTCTGGAGCCTCGGGCGCCCTCTGAAGCTTGCCCAGGGGCCCAGGGCCGTCCTGGCGCAGCCTGGAAGCCTCCCGTAGCCGTTCGGAAAGCATCCTCGGTGCTCTCGGGGTGTGATAAGCCCAATCTGGTAGACTGTCGTACCAACGTGTGGGCTCTCTGTGCGACCACGAGGCCTCTTCGGGAACCGCGAGGGCGCCCCCGGAGCGCTGTGGCACCCATGTGTGCCTGGGGTCGTGGTCCCTGGCCCGCCCGAAGCCTACTCAGATTTCTATGTATGAATGCGTGTATATATACATTCATGTCGAACGTCTTCGGCTTCTCGACTTAAAGCTGCTTTGTCCCGAGTGGGGCGTTCAATGTTTGTACAACAAGTTGTCATGCTTACTGCATGCGCATGCATGGTATGTTCGACCTCCTCTCGTTTAGGGTTCTCGCTTGCCTTTCAATGTCCGAATGTCGTTTGTGTGGTTTGCATTGTTCGTTATTATCATGCTCTCCAGATGTATTACCCCCTCCCCGTCTCGTATTCTTCGACCCAGGTTCCTGCTATCCTGTTGCAAGTTGGGGGATTCAGAATATGGCGGCTGATAGATTGACGATTATTGCGTCGCCGGTGTGTTATCGATGACTGCGTACGTAAGTGCTTGTTCTACCCAAAGTGCCGCCCCCAAGTTTGCAACCTGGCGACAGTCTCCCACGTTGATGCTTGCGGGTGACTGCCGAAGCGCGTTTAACAAATCCGCCGACCCTGTCGGCGTGTGGACGACGTATCCTCGTCATCTTGCGTGGGTCGCCGTCGCCCACGAGATCGTCACGTCGGCTCCAAGAGGGGTGGTCGGCTCCCCTCGGGGGAGGGGAGCTGCCCACGACACCGCCACGTCGGTTCCAAAAGGGGGCGTGGTCGACTCTCCCCGGGCGAGTGGAGCGGCCGCGCCCCGGGGGGGAAGCCAATCTGCTCCCCCCTGGACACGGGAGGGGGAGCCAATCTGAGCAACGTCGTAGCTTACTCGAAAGGAAGCCCCTTCCCTTTCATCACTTCCCCCCGAAGGGGGAGGTGCGGGGGGGGGGGTCGCACCCGGATGCGCGGAAGGGGGGGTGGGGCACCCGGGCGGCTCCCTTCGGGGGAGGGGAGCGGCCGCGACGCGGAGGGGAGCGGTCGCGACACGGGGGGGAAGCCAATCTGAGCAACGTTGTAGCTTACTCGAAGGGAACCAAGCCCCTTCCCTCCTATCCCTTCCCCCGAGGGGGGGGGGGCGAGGGGGGGGTCCCACCCGGATGCCCGTGGGGGAAGGGCACCCAGGCGGCTCCCTTCGGGGGGGGGGGTGCGGCCGCGACGCGGAGGGGAAGCCAATCTGAGCAACGTCGGTGTTTACTCGAAGGGGGGGGGTCCCAGAAGGGGGTCCCAGGGGGGTCCCGGGTCAGAATACCACCCTCCCGGGGCTCATGGCCCGCCCTATGCCGCGAAGCCTCCAGGCGGCACCGGCCGGAAGGCCTTAGCAGTACGTCCCTGGATGTTCGCTCATATCGTCCAAATACCCTCGCCCTGCTCTGGCTGCATACACACAAGTCGTCACAATCAAAAAGTGTACGAGCAGAATCCAATAACCCTGCTTTGACCATTTGCCATTTACTGCTCGCGGCGGCCAAGCGAAGTAGCCACAGCAGTCAACGCGAACCAGAGCATTGCGAAC